ATCAATATCCCATTCTTGATGATCATTGATTGGGGCTATTTTAGGACCTTATGTTACATCATATAAGCTCTCACTTATTTATTGACAACATAAGTCCAAGGGAACACAATTATGAATAAGATATTGACAATCGAAATACTTAATCATCAATGTGTAGTACCGTATATATCAAATATATAAAACTGAATGTGATCAAGTACACATTTCTCTAAAAAGTGATTGTCGCTAGGACATATATACTAACATGCATTAATCTTGAACTCTAATCTTAGCATTCAAGTGGAACTCTGTTTAATATTATCTCTTACATGGATATAAATAGGGCATGACGTAGACATTAGAGATAGCTTGGAATTAGTAAGCAATATTGGGTTAAGCTTCCACTGCTTTTTTATATGTCTTTCCCTAGTTAAGTGCATTACTATTGCTATGTCACACCAAAGGAGTCATGTATGAGTAAGCTGCATCTTTTTATTTGTAATCAACTGAATACGGGATTAAGGTTATAAAGTCCAGTAAAAATCACATCCATTTTAACCGTACATTAACCTCTTCTGATACTACATTTTTACTCATGGGAAAAATCTTACGATAGTTGTAATTAGCTCACACAGTCTAAGGCATTAATGTGGTTAATTAATATAAAAAATAAATCAAGAAATTCTAGTTTGAGCTTTTTCCGATGGAATCTTTTCCGGTTGTTTTTTTTATTGATACTTGATTTTATTAGTTCTCTCTTCTCTGAATTGATAGGAGTTCAGAATATGATGGCTGGCTAGAAAGATGTGAATCACCTAGTTGGGAGATGTGCAAGAATGCAAATCTAAGTTGACGATCCTTGCCCGTTTTGATGAAGGGACTTTTGTGATCAGAATATGATGAGCGGTTTCCTGTAGTTTTCCGCAGGGTTGACGCAGTTTTGAAGGAAGAGTTTGTCATAGGTTATGTAGAGATTGTGCGAGGGTTTTGTAAGGGTATGTTTGGGAGTTTGGAGGGAAGGGGAGGGGAAGGTTTAGAGGTATGTTGTTGGAGGGGAAAGGGAGGGGAGGGTGAGGAAGCCCTTCTTTGTATTTGGGAGTAATAAAATTGGAAGGAGAGGGTTTTTGAAGGAATTATAATCTAAATCACTTTGAGATATGACGAATTCAAATCATTGAGCTGATATTCGTTTCTAATTTAGCTTAAATTACCGTATTGTTAATTATCCTCCAAAACCCTCCAAATTGGGGAACTTAAAAATTAAGCATTTGGAGGGTTTTGAAGGGTTACAAAAGCCCTCCGAAACCACCCCTCCAATTTTTTAAACTCCCAAACATGAAAAGGAGGGTCATAAACCCCCATTAACCTTCCCCTCCCCTCCGAAACCCAACTCCCAAACACACTCTAAAGGTCTCTAATGTCGTTAGGGTGTTTTGTTAGTTACCTAAATCTAATATAAAGACAGTAAGTAGTATCCTATTGTACTAAAGATCAGGTGTTTACCATTTGAGGCTTTGAGAGAAATTATTTCTTCATGTGATGTATTTTATTTAGGTGTACAAATTTTACAAGATAATAGTAGATTAATACTTTACTCTATATATACTAATAAGTATTAATCAAACCAATCAAATTAATTAGGCTTGAAATGAGTGAGAATTACAATTATAGCGTTGAGAACACAAGAATAATGAAAAGGATTATGTATTGGGGTATAAATTTTTAGACAGAAGATGCAATTACTCATCTAGTTGTAAAACCATCCTAGGCTCTGTATTTGGTGTAGTTGAATTGTATTGATGATGATCCAATTTCACCCACTTAGGCTCTGTTTGCAATCTGATAAGTGCTTTTGTTTTTTTTAAGAAAAAATCACTTATTTTACCAAACACTACCAATTTTTATCAAACAATACGTGTATATTAATCTGCAAACTGAGATATAATAGGATAAACTACCAACTTACTATAAAAAGTGTATATTCAACAAATTAACTAAAAATCAAAATAGTGTAAGTAAATATGCAATCAAGATATTAGATTCGCTAACCTGCTATTGAAATTTACGATCACCAATCAAAAAAGTATTATATTGTTCAATGATTTTTGGAAAGAAGGAAGACACACACACATCATTTATTTATGTCCACATTTGAAGTTGACATATATGCATTGTGCGTATAAATGCATTATGGTTTGACTAGATTATATATGTCAACTTTTCAAATTGCTTATACGAACCACAAAAAAAAGTACTGCCTTATATGTAATACTCCCTCCGTCCCGCTATCAATGGGACAAAAGGAAGTGACACGCAAATTAATAAAAAGTGATTTATGTGGTTGATATTGAATTGATACAGTAAGAATAAAGTAAGAATGATTTAGAGTCACACAAACTTTACCAAATTTGGTATGTGACAATCTTATTGGGACGGACCGATAAGGTAAAATGGGACAATCATAGCGGGATGGAGGTAGTATATGTTGTATATGTTATGTACGTATAGGTAATTACACCTAAACAATAAAAAAAGAAAGTGCAACTACTTTAGGTTGTTAAAATCTAAATAATCCATATTCTCTCCCCTTGCATAAATATGCCTAAATTATTCTGTCCAAATTTTGTCCAAAAATAGTACTACCTCTGACCCCTAATATTTGGACGGAAGAGAGTGGTGTGGTTTTTAAGAAAAATATAATTGTGTGGTTGATAATGAGTTGATAAAGTGGGAATAAAGTAAGAATGAATTAAAGTGATCATACAAATGTTATCAAATACGGCATAAGACAATAATAGGGGGACATCCCAAAATGAAAAAAATGGGACAATCATAGGGGAACAGAGGGAATACCATTGAAGCGATTTTAAGTTTCTAAAACCTAAATAATTTAATTGCTTATATAAATAGCAACAAAATTTCAATTCACATCCTCAAACTCTGTATATATACTTAATTTTCCACCTTTCATTAACAATCCCGGTAAGAACAATGCATCTAGATGAAATCCAGTCCAAATTTGTTACGTTGTGCTATAAAAGATATAATTAGCGAAGAGGGAAAAATCATATAGAATTATATAGAATGCTAAATGTGATGAAGTGTGTAATATTTTTCTTATATAAGCTAATTATTTTATATAAATATGTATACATGTTAAGTTATGCATATCTATATATACAAATTATATGTGTATTCATAACGCTAAAATGTAGGTGTTTTTTTCTTCCTAAAATTAAGATCATGTGGGAAATGAAAAAGTAATTTTGATTCTCAAGAGCTTAGGGACATTAAAAAGTTAAAAAGTAATATAAGAAGTATTTTATATTATGTTTACTTGGACTGTTTTCAGTCCCAGACCACAACAAATCAAGCTTCAACATACCAGACCAGATCACACTTTCATAGTTATAAAATACCTAAAGACCAGACATTTACCAGACCAAACCCGAACAGTTCAGACCATATCAGACCATACTTAAACATACCAGATCAGATCAACAAATTTCAATCCAAGTAAAAACATCCAATTCATCAAACAAGATCATCATTTCATTCTTGAAGATTAAATTTCAGTTTTTATATTTCCTTTAAACTATGAACACTAAAGGATAAACATATATATTACCGAGAATAGAAATATATCCGGTATTATATGATACGAGTGTGATGTCTTGATATTCAACGGGGTTTTCGGTAGATGAATGTAAGCCGTAACGGGACTTACACGTAACGAAAACAACGCTCTCGCTGCCTTAACCGGAGTTGAGAATATATTAGCGACATCGTATTCATAATTATTGGTAAAGAACTAATATTCAACCCTAATAAAGCATTTAATTGATTCCCGAAACCTTAGCCGTTGTTATCATTCATTTTAAACCCGAATTAATTAAAGTTGTTTCCTTGAATTAAAAGTGAAAAGCCAAAAATACAAAACACAAATTAAAATCTCTGCACCTTACTCATTTATTTATTTAAAAGTCATCTACTCTCGGACTAAATTAAACAACGTTTCCCTGTGGATTCGGACCGATAGTTTACCGGAATTTATTACTATATCGGCACCTGTACACTTGCAAATTTAGACCGATCAAGAACGAAAGCAATAGATGATACAGAAATGGAAAAATAAAGCAGAGAGTTGAAGGAGGAAGGTAACTCATGTAACAGAGGATGGATTCAAACAAATATGGAATACTTCAGGAGTATACGAGCAGATTATGTAATCAGATTTTAATAATATATCCTAGGTGTAAATGTGGAACGCATGGCGGAAATTTAGTGGGCCATTTGTATCGGGTACTGTACCTTTAAATTTTGCCAGGGCACCATAGTTGTCACCATTAAATTTAAACTTGGTCTTCTAAGTTTAATTAATACCGAGTACAAGTTTAACACCAATCTCAAACGGTGAATGAGCTAGATGCTAATATTGTGAATGTTCTTGGGCTTTTGAGTATTAGCCTGAACAATTAATTTGTTCAATTCATTGGGCTTGTTAGGTGAGTATTAGTTTAATACGTATGCATTTGAGGCATTTTTGTATTCGGCAAAAATTCTTATTCCTGTTATATTTCTTTTTGTCTTTGACATTTATGTTGCAAAAGATTTTATTTAATATTTGAAAATAAATTTTGTTAAATAACATACTCCCTCCATCCCTCATAACTTTGCTAACTTTCCTTTTTTTATTGTCCCAAAACCTTTGACACTTTTCATTTTAATCAATCAATTTATGTTTCTTATTATTTCTCTCTCAATTGTATAAATCTCTATCACATAATTTTTATTTTATTATTCTGCGTGCCGATCAAACTTGTCAAAAATTTAAGAGATGGAGATACTACTATTTTACTACATTTTAACATTTTTTTGCAATATACGGAGTACGTTGTTTAATTAAATTTTGGCCCTACCCGATTGACAAGGCTAGGTCCGCCCCGGTTATAACTCCAATTTACTTCTTTTCAATGAACTGTGAGTCACTGTCTAACAAACATACGTGAAGTTATTAATCACTTTTACCGACAGAAACATAAAAACTCGGGAAGAAACGGCTGGAAAGGGAGTTGAAAAACCACTCCACACTGCCTAACCGAATAATCATAGTAACAGTACTGCAACTCACAATTGCCAGTCAAAGAGAACAATAGTTTCACTTCACCTCTGACTCTCTCTGAGTTCCAGACATGCCGCCGTTTCTCTGCAATAGCCGACGTGCCGGGAATTGGAGTTTTCTCATCGGGAAAGCGTCAGGCGACATGTGAGTGCACCAAAACCATCAGATCAGGTATTTTTGTCTCTTAACTTTCTTTTGAGCAAGGATATGACCGGATTCTTTAAAGGAAAACGAAGGTAAAGAAAACATCAGTGAGCCCTTTCGTGAATACACAAAAATCTTGGAATCCCAGATTTTGATTTTTAATTTCTTCCGCTTCTGTTCTTTCATATTTATATATATCTGATTTCGCAGGAGAATTCTTGCGTCTTTAAATTGCAGAAGTCTGTTTAAAAAGGGTGAAAGGTGAAGCTCTATTAGAATAAGCAACCTCCCCAGTAGTATAGTTTATCAAAACCCTTTAAAATTCCTGGGGTTATTTGTTGTTTGCAGAACTGAATGTTGAGGTGTTTTGGAGATAGCTGATGCGTCCGTGTTTCTAATTCCTTAAACAAGTACCTCAGGATTGTCAAACCTGTCATAGGAAAGGGATGTTTTTCACCATCTTCTTTTGTATGATGTGGAATTCAAGCTTCCTGATTTTGTCTTTGTTCATTTTATAGGTGTTTATGTTTGACAAAATTTTCTGTTAGGAATCCATAATTGCTAGTTTCTGTATTAGAGTTGGGGTTTTCTTGTTCTTCCCTCTTTCCTTACAAAAATTCCATATAGCCATCTAGATATGTCTCCAAGGGCAGAAAAGAGTATGAATCCAGTAAGGCTTCTTTCATTCCTTATAGCCATTTCTTTGTTTCTATTGACCATCTCTTCTTTTTCCCTCCTCCACTTTGATACCAATTATTTCATCCCCAAATCAGTTCTCCAGTTAATTCTCATTAACAACATCACATCAGATAAATGGAATTCAAGCACTACCCATGCTGAAACCGAGATGCCTTTGCTTCCTAATTCCAGTAAAAACCCTAACAGAGTGTGTGAAGGGAATCAAACTATTCTTAGAGTTTATATGTATGACTTGCCGCCGGAATTCCACTTTGGGCTTTTAGGATGGAAAGGAAGTAGGAACGATAAAATATGGCCTGGTGTGGATGAGCCGAGCAAAATCCCACGATATCCTGGTGGGTTGAACTTACAGCACAGCATAGAGTATTGGCTCACCCTCGACCTTTTATCGTCAAATACCTATTATACCCCAACTGCTTTTAGTAGGCCATGCACGGTTGTGAGAGTTCGAATCTCAACCGAAGCAGACGTTATATTTGTACCGTTTTTCGCTTCCCTGAGTTACAACCGCCATTCAAAGGTTCAGAACGATGGTGAGATCAGCAAGGACCAACTGCTGCAACATAGAGTGGTCGAGTTTTTGAAAAGTAGAGACGAGTGGAAGCGGTTTGGTGGGAGGGATCATCTTGTGGTGGCTCACCATCCTAATAGTATGTTGGTTGCTAGGAAGAAGCTGGGTTAACTATTCGAATAAAAGCAACTTCATTAAATTAGTGAGTTTCCCAACTCACTCACTTATCTAAGTTGCTTTTTGCATTGAAAACAGAGCCTGCCGCCAACTATTAATCAAGTTACAAAATGTTCAATTACTATCCAACGGTAATTAAGAACAGTTATCATCAAGAGGTATAAATATCACTTTTACCTCACCGCATTCTTTACTTAAGCTCCATCTCTCAAAACTAGCTCAAAACCTTCTTCAAATCTTAAAACAAAAAGTTTTTCATCATCCTCATCAAATGACGAACCCCTCAAATTCTTCATCTCACAATATTTCTCTTGAACTAAACCTAGCTCCTCCACATCTATCAACTCAACGAAGATCAGTTCAAACCCATATTCAAGAGGAGTGTCATTCTGCTCTTGAATCAAGAATCATCTTCGAAAAGGAGAATGAAATAATGTAACATGAGACACTCAGAGTTATGGCTCGGAGGACATGGAGATTTTCTCCAATCAACTTTCTTCTTCTTAATGCACCTAGAATGACTCAAGAAGAAGTTTGCGTTTGAATGGCTGAAGACAAGAAACATTGAAATGTCATTGTCATTAAGCTATATCAATAGGGTCTACCAAGTCAAACTTGATAATCTCAAACAAGGTGATGCAAAACGGAGAAGGAGAGCAGGCAGAAACTTCCTCCCTGGAGAATCATCAGGTAGAAGACACCAATTCGCATAGGTGTTTGTTGCTGCCAAAAAGGGGGGAAATATAATCAAACACATAGGACAATTTTTTCCATCATTTAGTGTTTGTATTCTAGTTTTTGGCATCATCAAAAAGAGGGAAATTGTTAGGTCCCCTAGATTTTGATAATCATATATTGTTTTGATGATGCCACCCCTTTTTATATTATCCCTGTAATAGACTAGAGCTTGTATTTGTTCTACTTTGTTTATTGTAATGTGCTCCATAGTGATAAAGTACTCAAGAAAAACAAAGAGTACTAAAAAGAGAAGAAATGTACCATAAAACAAAAAGAGAAGAAACAAAAAGAAAAGGTACGAAAAGAGTCAACTGAAACCCTTAAAACGGAATCAGATACTTAAGTAAGAAGACCATCTTATGACCTTCTGTCATGGTTGTATCACAAAACCTTAGCAACAGAAGAGGTTCTCTGGTGACACCAAAACAGAAGACCTCATTAGTATTCTGATTAAGTACTCGACATCTGCTATTCTTCTCTTAGCACAGAAACAAGAAAACAGAAGACTCACTTGCAGTCAAAATGACAAAAAGAATAGAAAATAATATTATAAGAAATTATGTGACAAAATTTCTTATAAAATTATTTACTAAAAGCAAGTAATTCTATCATGAGGAAGCATTGAACAACACTCGACCTAGATACTGAATTTCTACGAGCTAAAGAAATAAAAGATAAATCATCTTTATCTTTGCCTAGAAATGAGGAATCAAGTTGAGTGAGCATAAATGATCCGTGTCACAAGAAGACAAGAATCTACCATGCTGCCCCAATCAAGCGGAACAAAGCAAGTAGATCAAGCAACGATCAAGATTGGATCACTCAGCCAACGGAGGAGATTCAACAACAAAGTCTATAAATACAGAAAGAGTGCGGGAAGACCAAGTGTGGCACCAGATGGCAACAAACCCTGGTATATTGGAATCCAGTGGAACTGAAGGGAATCAAGGTATACACGAAAACATCCAGCTAGTTGATTCACCTTCACCACTCTAGTTACCACCCCACTCATCTAATGCTCTTAGAATAGCTCATTATTCATACACATCTATAGAGCTTAGGTTAGTTGGTAGACTAGCTTATACACATGTAAACTAGTCTAGTGTATTCATTCTGGTATGTGTGTGATCATCCAAGAGGTGAGGCAAGGACATGAGTAGCTTCTGGCTGGACAATGCCATTAGTGAAAAACCTTGGAGGACATGAGTAGCTTGGAACAGGTTGGTTCCTCGTGAAAAACCTCACAATCTACGTCCGGGTCAGGGGTAGATTGGGCACTAAATGTAATGGGATATTCATTTAGTGGAAATACATTTGAAATAGGTTGGGACTGGATGTAGGAGGATTACACCACCTCTGAACTAGGATATATCTTGTGTACCTTTTACATTCAGCACCTAACACATACTTCAGTACAAACTCACCTTCATGCTATCCGAAAAGCTTGCATATTCACTGTCCAGAAAACTCCCTAAAGTTTTCTGTAAATCAATACTCCTTACCTAAGTACTTCAAAGAGATCTATATCAACAAGTCTAAATCCTTCACACAAAGGTGTTCTGTCCACCCATCTCTGTTACAACTAAAAGGGTCATAACCTTTGTTTCTATAAAGTGTCACATTCTTGAGGTCAAGACTTCCGCTGTATGTTTCAATATCTCTCAAAAGATATTGGAACACATTCTGTTTGAGGAAAAAGGGTTGAAAAAGAAAAGATTTTTATAAGTCTATTCACCCCCCGGCCCTCTAGACTTCTACCTCACATGGGACCATAAAAAACATAGAGAGATTGTTTCTGGATGAAAAATAAATTTGTACATAACCAAATATAAAAGGCTAACCTATGATAGGCACAAATGCACAATAAGACTATCAGTTCATAAAAATATACACTGCACTAACAAGAGTTCTACATACTCCTAATAGATAATAAGCTTTCACATTTTGACTCCACATAAACTGTTGGAGAGTTGTAAGGTCATGAGATTGTATAAACAAATATAAAAGGCTAACCTATGATAGGCACAATAAGGCTATCAGTTCATAAAAATATATACTGCATTAACAAGAGTTCTACATACTCCTAATACATAATCAGCTATCACGTTTTGACTCCACATAAACTGTTGGAGAGTTGTAAGGTCATGAGATTGTGTGATGTAGCACTGCTGGAAGACTTAGATTGTCTTTGAGTAGATGTTCATATTTGTATTTGGTTGAACTCGTGAAATAATGTAACATAGATGTGGTTGGAAATGTGGGTTTTTACTGTTTTATATCTAAAAGAGCATAAATAAATGTCTGCGAATAAAACTTAATTGTAAATAACTGGTACCGGTGTATTTATAACAAATAAACACACAAAATGGAAGTCTAAATAAGAGGGTAAAATGGGAACATTTCAAGATTATCCAATATTACAGAAGAAATAGAATATGATCAAATTACGCTCTATATTATCTCCAAAAAAAGTAATGTTACATATCTAAGCCTCTAATGTAAGCTAAAACATTAAAACCAAACAAGTTAAATATAGCACTATCATTTGGGTCACACTTTAGAAAAGGTATTATTATACGTTTACACGAGGGGTGATCATTGACCTGATAGACAGATGAAGGCCTCAAGGCAGAAAGCAGCTTTATTGATTCCAATACAGCAGAACCATTTTTAACAACCTGCAGTGTCAATTGCACAGGTACCAACTACATTCAGACTAACTGCATCTAAGCAGGCTAGGTGCCACTCGACCATCCGAGGGCTAGTGACTTTTGCATCACTGCTTCCAATCTCAACATACCAACACCGATAAATCTTCCTGTTTTTACCTCTCTCAGCCCACAATTCTTCAAATGTGTTGCCAACGAACCAAGGAGAGAAGTCAATGAATAGAATTCTAACTCGAACTTAATAAGCATTAGTATCAACTATCAACCAAATGCAGATAAAAGCTAATAACGGAGTGACCTAACAAACTTAACGCGAAAGTAAGAAAATAAAAAATAAAATGAATGACAAATACTTCAGTCTCGTTCTCGCCAGTATTCTTGACGTATCATCTTCCAAAACCTATCACCTCGGTCGCTCCAGGGCAACGATTCAGAAGGGGGACGGTCTGTCGATCTGTCTTCTCCCTTGCTTAGAACTTGATTCAGAAGTTGTCAGGCGATTTTCCCATTGAAAGTATCAATCGCAAACCTCCATATTCGATCCATAGCAACACATCCAGAAACATTAACCATAGAGAACCAAACCATGGAGAGGCAGAATGTGGTAACGACCGCCCTCCCACTTATGCTACAACCCATTCACCAGACAAGAAACGACGCAAGCCGTCTGCCGGATAGACAAACCCTAGACAAAAGCTATATGGAGGAGACCACTTTTATGTTAGTATCATTGCCGCCTCCGCTGCAATAGTTCAACCCCAATTCCAACAACGATGATGCAAGGTGTCGCTAGACTCCCGCTTCTCCTTAAACCATAATAGAGAGAACAAAACTAAAAAACATCCACTCCAATCCCATGCTGAAATGCAAGGGCGGTAGCATCAATAAACCCTAACAAGAAAGAAGGAATTATTTCAGCCTTACAAAGGGTCGAACGTATTTAACAAATAAAGGTATGCTCTTAATTATTTATCTATATCTGACTATATGTTCTATAGGACTAGTAAATTACGCAAAACTAACTTGCCTAAAATATTTTTTTGACTGATCGTTACTGCCATCTTAATGCCCGACATGACAAATTTGGAAGTATAATTTCAAAATGACATTAATTACTCTTATTTAAGGGGATAAACATAGTACTCCTATTTTAAAATTTCACATTGTTTTACTCCTATTTTGAAAATTTTCTCATATGAAAATAACAAATGTTACAACTTACAAGTGATGCTGTGATGGATATAATTATCTTAGTAAGCCATTCGATCAAGCAGCCGGCTAAGGCAAACTGAAGATTAGAGATTGGACGGCTATACATGAGGAAGCCCGAAGACTAGGTAACATCCAACAGCGCTCAAATATTATACAGTTGTAACATTAATTGTTAAATATTACAGAGTATGTAACGATCAGTCATCATTTCATATTGTATTGAAGGACTAATCCATTGGAAGGGTCAATGGGTCATACACATATACTTGGTTCCAACCCGATATATATACCTTCATTTTTACACACTCACATACTGAAATATATATGTATCATCTCACTTGTTCAATTGTTCTTATACTACCTCCATCTCAAAGGGCATTGCCAACTTTGAGTTGTGTGTGAAATAAGAAAAGTAAAACTCAAGTGTTTGATGTTTGTGGTTGTGCAGAAAGAGAGAAGTAAGCAGAAACACAACTTAATTAATAATTATGTTCAGACATCCCATTGATAACTCAACAACAGCAAATTGCTACTATTACCACTATTAACATGTTGAAATTTGTGTGCACTTTTATTTAATAATTATTTTTACTGCTTTTAAATAATATAGGTCTGCTGAATGCTTTTTTGACGTTTATACGATTATTTTGAATATACACGAATTTGTCAACACAGACATTTCATCATTTATTTTGCTCTACAGTTGCATTATAGTTCTGCTGACTATTTTTATATGTTGATGTTTTACAAGTTTAGCATTTGGAAAGGATCAAAGGAGTAGGAAAATTTCTACCAAAAACCCTAAACAATATGCACGAGCCGAACACATTGCAACACATAATTGGAATGTAATCTGGGCTTGCATTTTGCTAAAAGAAAGAGCATGGTCATAACTCACAAATATGACACTAAATTTTATCACACTTCAAAATGACTAGAAATATTTATAGCACATAACTTTACTCTCATCCTTTTGGGGGCTCTAAAATCACTAGATGCATTGCTAGACACTGCTAGACACGATTTGCTAATAACCAATGCCCAAGAAGAGAGCAAATCTTGCAGTATGATATATTGTCACCAAAAGCACTTAGATCCATTTGAAACGGATGCCTCTGCTTCTACAATCATAAAGATGCCACTATCTTCTGTATTAAAAAAAAAAACTGATAAAGCATTCCCTAAGCAGCAATTTCCAACAATATCTTATTCCCTGACCATCTCTTTCAGATCCTGAGCAACAAAGCTCTTTGACTATTAGCAGAGAAAGTGAATTTATTTGGGGAACAATTATTATCTATCATCTCCTGTAGAACTCTAATTCCTTCTGTTGGATTACCCTAATCAGCATGCTATAAGTAAAAGCATTAGGTATGCACCCCTTATCAACCCATGTCATCCCACAGCCTCCCAGCTTCAAGTATGTCTCCATTCTCACTCATTCCTGCAATTAATGTGTTGTACATCAAAACACTGGGAGCCGAACCTCCCTCAAGCTGATCAAATAATTTCTTTGCTTCCCAAATGTGTCCCTCCTTGCACATAGCATCAATAACCCTACAACAAAGTGATCCACTAGGTGGATATTTGTTGTCAAGCATATCATTAAGCAAGTTGACTGCTTCACCTGGTCTCTTCCCAGCACACAAAGCCTCTATCATCACTCCATAACTTACATCATTTGGTTTGACCCCATTGTCCTCCATCTCTATCGATTCAAGTGGTAATTAAAGAGTGGAAATAATGCATTTATATAACTATATTTCATCTTTATCTCATTTTGTTTTACTATTTTTACACACAATTTTGTATTGCAGCCTTGTAGGTACCTCAAATTTACTTGGAAAATAATAATTTGATTAAATTGGGATCGGAAACAGCTCATTTCAACATAAATTTAACAAAATTTCACATGCTATTTAAAAGTAGACATACGAAAGGTGTTCGGATCTCTAGTTATTTGAAAACTTCAAGAGAATTTAAGAATTTTCTAAATGAATGTCGAGAAGTATTCAATGTTATAACATATCCTACATCATTTTAGAGGTGAAGAATGATCTAGAAAAGTGTGGAGTATTTTAGAACATTATGATGCTAGGGAGCTACTTAACGAAATTGTGAAATTTTGGAGAACCGTGTGGAATTGTGTGAGAGCCTCTTGAACACTTTGCATAAATGTGTAGTCCTCTAGATTCTTCTAGAAGATCATAGAAGTATGTAGGTACTTCTTGGAAGATTCAAAAAGCGTAGAGGGGGGAATAGAAAGTTTTAGAGAAATATGAACATATTAGTATAAATAGGGAGGGGTTAAACTCCTTACACATAAGCAATTTTGATGACGACTCTTAAAAAGTGAACGTGTGAGCCTTCTCAAGAAAGGTGAGAGATAACATTTTTGTGAAAGAAGAGAATCCAAACATATCTCGTGTGAAGTGTAAATGAAGAACTTACTTAGGGTGAAAGGAGACAATCTAAGAAGGTTTTTCGTTTTTCGCAAGTTTAAGTGAAGTTGGATGAAATAATCTCAAATAGAAAGAGTGAAGTAAGTTACTTTAAACTAGTTAAATCTCTATTATACTTGTATAATACACAGTCATATTATCATAATCCCTTTGTCCCTTATAACTTTCACAAAGTTGACCGGCATCTAGAATGAAGGGTAGCTAGGACATTTAATGTAAAATGAGTTGTCTAAAAAAGAAACGTAAAGGAGTAAATGAGACGTCCCAAATAGGAAAATGTAAAGATTTAAATGGGACGGAGGGAGTATGATAGTATATACGATGTATAATTAATAATGACATTGACACGCTATCACCCCCCACACATATATAGATAGATCTGCGTCATCTAAATACCGAAGATCTAAATACACATTATATACGTACTCGTCTACAACTAGTTAGCAGGGCTGGTTAGCAGGGTCGGTTCTGAGCGGGCAATGGGGGCGACCGCTCTAGGCCCAAAAAAGTAGAAGAAAAAATAGGCCCAAATTTATATATATATATATATATATATATATATATATACACCGTGTGTAGTCTTCTTTTTTACTTTTAAATTCAAAGAATTAAGCCTAATGTTTAATTCTGTTGACAATTTGAAAATTTAAAACATAAATAAAAGGTCTTAAACAAAGCCAATTTTAAAAAAGAATAGGGAAAAGAGTCAAATAAGGTCTTCTATTATTACAAAATCGTTAAATAAGGTCATGTCATCAATAAAGTGTCTAATAAATATGTCTACTTATAAAAAGCAATTGGATGAGTCATAGCGGTCCATTGACAACCTCCTAATCCCAACATTATCTTATGTGTTGTTATTTTTGCCTTGTATGAAGTATTTAAGTCAATTCTGACCAAATATTCCACATTAGTCTTATAATTTGTTTTAAAAAGATAATCGAACGTATGCTAAAATCGGGATTACGAGGTTGTCAAAAGGTCTTTAAGACTCATTTGATTGTTTTTTATAAGTAAACGTATTTATATGACACTTTATTGAGTACACAGCCTTATGTGATGATTTCGTAATAGTAGAAGGTTGTATTTGACTATTTTCTCAAAAGAATACATAAATTAATTTTAAGTAAGATCGATTGTAGTTTTTAAAAGCAATACAATTGTTGTTGGATCCATTAAAAACACGCTTCTTCGGTCTTCAGCATCTAAGTCTTTTTATTTATTTTAATTATAACATAACAAATTTATATAAGGCCTTTTATTCTAATATTACTAAAATGAATGAAAAAGACAAATTTGTGACATGTTTTAAATTTTTCCAAAAATGTGACTAAAAGTCATATTCCTTGTATTTAATCATATACATTTATTATTTTATTATTCATTTTATATATTTGATTAGTAGTCTTATGACCGCCGACCGCAGCACCACCACCACCACCACTGCCACCACCACCTCTACCGGCGTCGCCGCCGGAACCACTGCCACTGCCGACGCCGCCAAAGTGACTCCGGCCAAAGTGATTCCGACCAAAGTGACTCCGGCCAAAAGTGACCCCAGCTAAAGTGACTCCGGCCAAAGTGACCCCACCGGCCACAGTGACTCCGTTCAGTGACCGCCAGTCATTGTCACCAACGTCCCACCCCCTCCCCAGCCCACCACCCCCTCCCCAGCAAACCAACCCCTCCCCAACCCACCAGTGCCCTCCCAGTTCCAACCCAGCCCACCATCCCCCTCCCTGGCCACCAACTTCTGCACAATCGCGGCCCAAAACCACACCCTCCTCAGCCCTGCAATCATCGCATGGCATCACCGCGTACCGCCGCCGGCCGCCGCTTTTCAAATATGGAACAGTGACCTATCGGATCTAGGTCACAGTCAAACCAATTGCGGATGTAGAGACCAAATCGATGTAGAAAGGAGATGAAAAAGAGTTAGACTAGTAGTGGGGTTCATCTCCGAGGCTCGAGACGCCATCACCGAACCCTAGCAGCAGCCGTCGCCGATGGAGAGGTCTTCGGAGAAGAGGAAGAAGAAGAACCCAGTGGTGGCGCGGCCATTGATGATGATGCCTAGATCTTCATCTCTAGTTGATTTCATTTGTAGCAACGGTGGTGGAGAAGAAATGAGTAGAAGACAGTAGCGGCAGGGCGGTGACGGCAAGAGATTGGCAATGATGCAAGCCGCGGTCGACCGAGCTCCCCTTCCGAGCAGATGATGTGGAGTAGATGTCCATCTGTGTTGGAAATTGCAATGGACGTCGTGGATCTATGTGAAGGAGATGTGCTCTAGGGTTGTGCTCTCTCCAGATTTGTCGTATTTTTGGAAAATAGAGAAAAGGTTATGTTTTTGGAATTCAAAAGTCAAATGATAATACGGACGTCATTTATTCTTTATATAACTATTTTAGAGCTTGTGATTCTTAATTCTCATCCCAATGATTTATTTGTTTCCAAATTTCAATAAACTATATATGCGTTCCTGATAGTAGTTTTAGAGGGGGTCAATTTTGCTTGGCGGCCAAACGTTTCGTCTCTTTGAAAACCTTCATTCTTTGGAGGCTTCATACTCTCAGCGGTCAATAAATCATTCTCAACTTATGAATTCGATAGGTAGTAATATTTCTTTTCATTAATCCTTTCAGTTGTAACTAAAATAAAGTTTAGTGTTGTTATATGTGACAATTTAATTGTTTGTCATATTTATTAATGGGAAGAATGTTGCCTATGAAACGATTATTGATGATTTGCTTTATTCTACGAGAAAAGTTTTTAAGTAATGTTTTTTTTTTTTATTTGATACTCGTGTTGTTAGTTTTGCCCAAATATGTAATTTAAATAATAACAAATTGATTCTCACCTTTATTTTATGAACTTTATTGGATACTTTCATACTTCGTGTGATTCATATTTCAAATAAGTATATTGTTTATGATTTGTCTTAGATATAAGCTCAAAATAACTTGTCGTCCATAGGCTCAGAAATGAACAGGATCAGCCGTGCTGGTTAGGGTTCACATAGATAGCCTACATACTCCAGTTAGGGGTGGGCATGATTGGTTAACCGCACTTTGGTTAACCAATTTTCGGTTAACCGTGATGTTGGTTAATATATTGTTAATGTCATTATCCGTACCGTAATATTGGTTAACCGATACTCGGTTAACCAAAATATCGGTTAACCACTAATTGGTTAACCAAAAACCATGAAAAGGAAAAGAATAAAGTCATCAAACTACTCCGTATTAAATATTTGATTTGTTAAAAAATACATAAGCAGTTCAAGATTAAATTAGAAATTTTATATAGCGGAAACTTTTCCAAAAAAACTCCCCGGCTCCAAAACTTTAGTTAGCCTGTATACACCGTATTATCTTTCCATGTGTACTATTCCATATTATATGTTCCTATATATATGTATTTATATGGTTATTAGGTTAATTATACTATTTATATATGTATAGTACTAAAGAAAATGTATACATTTTAGTAGATTATGTACGGAATAATTGATTGTAAAGTGTGTATATTATTCCACTATGCATGCCTGAACGTGAATATACATACACCGGAATTCCAAAACTGATACAAGGTGTTCACTTTCCCGTCCCCATACCTTTGTTGAAATTTATTGTCCGTGTGTAGTGTTTGTGTATGATCTTATGGTTACTGGTTAACAACAACAACAACAACAACATCCAAGCCTTAGTCCCAAAAGATATTGGGGTCGGCTAACATGAATCGATACATGATATCACAACCAAAAGAAAAAGAAGGAATAAAGATAAAAAGATAAGCAATTATGAAAAGATAATATAAAAAAGATGAATATATATAAAAATGATAAAATAAAAAGGCATCAAATAATGCATATATATATAAGGATAAAAAAAACTAGGAAAAAAAAAGATGAGGGAAAAAGATTATCAAGATCACTCCTTCACGTGAATACCCGCCCTCCACTTAGTTCTCTCCAAAGTCATGCCCTCATCCAAGCCCAGAAGAAGCATATCACTTCGAACTCCCCTAACCCACGTCTGTTTGGGTCTTCCTCTCCCTCTCTTCCTTGCCTCTTCTCCACACATCTCAACTCGCCTAACAGGTGCATCACTCGATCTTCTACGCACATGACCAAACCACCGTAGGCGCGACTCCCGCATCTTGTCTTCAATAGGTGCTACTCCCACCCTTTGTCTGATTGTCTCATTCCTCACACGGTCCTTCCTAGTATGCCCACACATCCAACGCAGCATGCGCATCTCTGCCACACTCATCTTTTGAATGTGACATTGTTTCACCGCCCAACACTCTACGCCATACAGTAATGCATGCCTAATTGCTGTCCTATAAAATTTACCCTTCAGTCTAGTCGCCATACCTCGGTCGCATAGAAATCCTGACGCACTCTTCCACTTCATCCACCCTGTTCTGATTCTATGGGATACATCTTCATCTAACTCACCGTCCTTCTGAATTATGGAGCCCAAGTAACGAAACATATCACTGACTAGTATCTCCTTACCATCCAGAGTAATTCCGCTATTACCACTACTTCTACCTCCACCAAACTTGCACTCCATGTACTCTGTCTTGCTCGGACTTAGTTTGAAACCCTTATTCTCCAATGTTTTTCGTCATACTTCCAACTTTGCTTTAAGACCTGATTGCGTCTCATCAATCAATACAATATCGTCGGCAAACATCATGCACCACGATATATCGTCTTGAATTGACTTCGTAAGTTCATCCATGACTATGGCAAATAAGAAAGGACTCAAGGCCGATCCTTGGTGCACTCCGATAGTAATAGGGAACTCTTCAGTCCTCGCTACACTAGTACGAACACTTGTAGTACAATCCTCATACATATCCATGATGATGCTGATATACTTGCGTGATATGCCTTTCCTAGTTAAGGCCCACCAAAGAACTTCTCGAGGTCTATGGTTACTGGTTAACCGGTGAGATAATTTCTGATAGAGTATATCTAGAGAGAAGTGAGAGCTAGAGAGAGAAGTGCAATAATATGCTTCAATAGAATGAATTTGTAACCCCTATAACTACTCCCAAGGGGAGTATTTATAGAGAAAATACAGGCTGGGCTCCCAAGCCTTGGGTTTGGGAGGCCCATTTACAACTGGGCCGCTACTGGGCCGAATACAAAGCCACTAATGGGCTATACAAATGAGTAAGTGTAAAATCCGGTTCTGGGAGGTCTTCGTGGCCGACGAGGGCGTGGCCGACGAGGGCGCGGCCGACGAGGGCACCCGGGTTCCTTGGGCTCAGGACCATAATCTGAGTTGGCCCCTTTTCGGCCGACGGGGACGTCATGGCCGACGAGGGCGCCACTCTGCGTCTTGTGCTTTCTGTTCTTCCGAGTATGTGGGTCCGGGGGCTCAGACCCATATACTCCATCAATTTCCAAAACCGTAACCGTACCGCTAACCATTTTTCCCTCCCGGTTGGTTAACCGTACCGTGAGTTTTAAAAATTCCGGTATGGTTAACCGAAAAAGACACCGATTTTCCGGTTTTTCGGTACGGTTAAACGGTTACGGTTTTTTGTGCCCACCCCTAACTCCAGTACTATTTATTGAGTATTGGTTAAGTATGTTATCATTTGTTCGGATCTTATCCAGTCCATTAATCAAACCAGCAACAAAAAAATCCAAAATCTTCACGATCAACATAACTATAAATCCATGGCACCAAGAAATTGAAATACCAAATTCACACCGAGGTATTTACTTAAATAGGAGTAAATCAACTTTTAATTGCCAAAATAGGACTAAAGTCTAAAACTTTCCTAAACAGGACTAATAATCTGTAATTGGACAAAAACGCCCTTGATGCTTGGAATTGATACTGCTGGGACCAGAACGCCTCTCGTCGGTCGCTGCCCCCCCGCTGGTCTCCTGTCGCCGCCGGCAGCCACCAGCCACCGCCACCGCCTCAAAACTAATTGTCGTAGTAGATCTGGAAACAACCTCTACAGATCTGACCACCGCCAGTACAGATCTGGCCACCTCCGACGTAGATTTGGCCATCGCCGACTCGCCGGCAGCCAGTCCTGTAGATCCGACCGCTGTCACGGCAAATCCGTCCTCCGCCGCTGTAGATTCGGCCTCAGCCGGTGCAGATCCAGCCTTCGCCACTGATAATGCCAACATTTTAGTTAGAATGCCAAACACAGATTGAGAATGCCATCTTAATGGCATTTTGAATAGAAAATGCGAAATTTTGGAAGAGTTCAAATGCCATTTTGATGACATTTTCAGATCTAACTTGGCATTTTGAACAAACAAAAAGAAATAGAGCATCTCAATGTTTTCAAATAACACCTGGACCAGAGAAGAAAGAATCAAGAAGAGGAGAAGAAAGATGAGCAAAGGTTCGTGATTATGCACCTCCAAGCTCGCCGTTCGTGGATGACCGTTCACTGCTAGTCGTTGCCATATTGATGGCATTTTCGCGGATGACCGTTCACGGCGGTGGACTTCACGATGGTGGCGATGGACTTCGTGGCGGCGGCATCAATGACTATCATTGGGCTAATGGGTATCATATTGGTGCCATATGTTCGTTTTTCCTATGTGAAGTGGAAGGAGAAGAAGATGTGCAGGTGTGCAGGGGAGGGAGAAGTGCGCAGATCTGCAGGGGAGGGAGAAGAAGTGCGAAGATCTGCCGGGGAGGGAGAAGAAACGCGCAGGGGAAGGGATCGATTGTGTGACGTAGGGAAATCAAATTAAAGAATAAGGAAAATAAGGGCAAATGGGTAATCTTGTCCTATATGGGGAATAAAAATTTACATGGTCCTATTTAGGAATTTTAGGAACAATTTAGTCCCATTTGAAGCAAAAAAGTCATTCACACCGTATGATTATGGCCCGATGTCCCCCTACTCCGTATAATAAAAGTTGAAATAAAACTAGTGATGATACTGTAAATTATGAGTATAACAACGATGATAAAACTAATGAATCTTTTATTATAAAAGTTATAATAAAAGGAAAAACATATCTACTCCGTATAATAAAAGTTGTAATAAAACTAATGATGATATTGTAAATTATGAGTATAATATATATTCTGGACCGGCATCTCAAAGCGGCAAAGGGGGCAGTAATGGCTGTTGTTTAGCCACGGAATGATGCAATCTCCATGAAACAGATGAGAACAGGGCATCTTAAGCACCCCTTTTTCTCTGCACGCCCACCGCAGATCTTCATCTTCCATACACACCGAACATTGGAATTTCCCACCGCCGCCATAATCCTGCTCCTCCTCCTCGTCCTCCCCAAAACAGACTCTCTCCAACGAATCAATAGCCCACTGGCTAGCGGGCCGCATCCCCACATTCGCCTCCTCGAACGACCGGCCCAATACGCCGCGGACCAATACGCTCTCGTAGCACGCGTGGACCCGTTGCGCTATCATCCGGAGCACCACCCCCCCGCACCACTCGTTCGCCGCGAGAATCTGACGCGCCCTCCAGACGATCCAGTTGACTAAGTTCTCGTCCTCCCACGACTTACTGTGCTGGAGCAGGCGGATCACCGCCCGTCGCGAGTACTCGTCGTCCGTCGCGAAGCCGCGGCGGTCAATGTCGTAGGAGACGGCATCCCAGGGATCGGTGACGGTGTGGACGGGCCGCGGCGGCGATCCGTCCTCCGGGAAGCTGTAATAGTGGTGCATCGTCTTCCAGCCAAAATCGAACCGGAGGTGGTTGGGGTTCGGTGATCGCGATTTGTGGCGCGGCCATGGGGTCTCGAACGCGTACCGTGCTCGCATTGAGTGTTTGTGGCACTCGAAATCCTCCATGGCTGTGAGAGATGAGGTTGATTATTGATTAATTGTATCATCTGCCCGACAATCTACCGTATATTTATACCAATGTACTCCGTATGAAAGAATTACGTAGTCTGTATTAAAAAGGAAAGCCAAGTTTCAATTCATTTAGGATGTTAACTAATACGGCCGAGAAAATCTAATAGCTCGTAGAAGGATTTGGTAATTTTCTGAAATTAGAAAGCTTCTGTCCTTTGGCTGTATCGGATCAATATTTTTTATTTGATTGGTTTCCTTTATTTGGGCTATATTACTTTGTTTAAAGTCTCCCTTCATCTTGTTTTTGTCTACTTAAATTAAATGTGATCTCTTGGGCCATACTTTGTTTAAGCTTGTGTCATTTGATTGTGTGTGTTTGGTTAAAGAAAATAGGGGGGAAGGGAAGGAAAGTGGAAGGCTTTCAAAATCTTCCACATCCTACCATTCTAACCCCCAAATCGGAGTATTTCGGAGGAAACATGTTGATAATCACAAACTATCCATCTCCTAAGTGAATGAACAAAACATTATAATATAAAAAGGTAAAAAATAAAAAGTTCTGACAAATTAGATAATTTAAAAATTTAAAAATTTAAAGATTAAAAATTTAAAAATTAAAAAATTAAAAATTTTAAAAATCAAAAAATTTAAAAATTAAAAATTAAAAATTTTAAAAATTAAAAATAAAAAAATTTAAAAAATAAAAATTAAAAATTAAAAATTGCAAACTGAAAAATGAAAAATTATAAAATAAAAAAAGTAAAAAAAAAATTAAAATAAAATTATGACTCATGACCATAGGAGTAATATTCACAATAGTTAGACATGTATCTATTTTTTTAAGTAAGCTATCATATAAAAGTAAATTGCAAAAAAAAAAAAATCATTAAACCTTTCCTCCTATTTCCTCCGACCAAACACAAATTTTTATCAAAATCCTTTCTTCCCCTTCCCTTCCCTTCCCTCCCCTTCCCTCCTTTGAACCAAACAAGGCCAAGGTAAAGTTTACATGTATACTGCTAGTAGTATTATCTATTATATTAGGACCAGAGTGGATCTAGGATTTACATTCACGTGGGGTCAAAATTGTTCAAATATTTTTTTTGTCATAGACAAAAACAAATATTATAAGAATAAGAATTTTTTTCAAAATCAAATACATAAAACACCTCAAGCCCATAAACATTACACCAATTTTCAAATTGATTAATTGAACTAATTGATTTTTAGGCTAATATTCAAAAGCCCATTCAGCTCGGAGATCCAGTTTAAATAGATACGGAGTATGTATGAAAGAAGAATCCCTCTCTTCTTCCATCCAGCTATCAATATGATTCGAACTCGGGTTGCTTAAATGGAGTGTCCTCACACGGCAGATCTAATTCCATATCCCTCCATCTCCAGTTTTGTAAACACTTTTACGTTTTTAATTATTACTAGTATTATACCCGTGCGATGCACGGGAAAATACATTTCTCATTTAAAAAAGTAGGGTTTTAATACTCCTTCTATTCTTTATTAAGTGTCTCGCATCCCTTTTGGGAACGTTTTTAATTATTTGTCCATCTTTCCCTTTTTGGTAAGTTTTTTAATCAAAATACCTTTATACTCCCACTTTTATTACTATTACCCGTTTCTTTCCTACTTTTTCATTACCCACAACCCACTACACCTTTTACACTACCCCTATTATTTTCCTCTTAAACCCCGTGTCAAAGCCTAAGAGGACTCATATTTAAGAACGGAGGGAGTAATACAAACAATATATACGGAGTAAATAGTTTAATAACTTCACATAGATGAATTTAATTGTCGTAATGTAATAACATGAACTGTAAATATAAACGATAGGAAAAAAACTAAGAAACCAAAAATTTTCATAATAAAACTATATTAAAAAGTGTTTTAGAATTGGGGTTTCTCCTTGAATATTACTAAACAAAAGCTAATTTACAACAAAGTGATCGCATTTACATATGGACAAAAATGTGACCAAGATGTTTTATTCATGTCACTGCACCACTTTCATGTCGCTGTCAGATGTCACTGCCGCCATCATCTGTGTCACTGCCCCCTTCCCCCGATCAGTGCCACCAGCCATAGTGACATCTCCATCGCCGGTGTCATTGACGTTGTCGTTTGGTGTCAATGTGATCGCCATAGTGACAGGCCACGCCACCTCCGATGACACTAATATGCCGCCTTCGATCACAGTGACACGCCACGCCACCGCCGGCCACAATGGCACCTACACAGTGGCACCTCCACCGCCAATGTCACTGTCGTTGTCGCATGTGTCACTGTGATCGGCACAGTGACACGCCATGCCACCTCCGGCCATAGTGACACATCACCTCAGGTCACAGTGACACGCCGAGTCCGGCCACGATGACACCCCCCGCCACCCTCATCTTACTGCCACCACCATTATCGCATACCCTTATTTTATCTATTATGTCATATAATATAATTTTTTCTTTATGTAATTAATAAAATATATTTTAAATATAATTTTTCATAAATCAGCAGTATCAGCCAATCCAGCCACTTCAATCAGAGCTTCATAAATTTCAGCAAAATCAACCAATACAGCCGATTTGGGTAGTACCAAACGGGCTCTATGTCGTAGTTCATAAGTATGGTTAACGTCATTTATCAATGCTACACAGAATCATAAGCTCACTCTACCAGTAAGAGAGTTGATGATAAATATTTGAAAGTAGTTAAAAATGATCTGAAAATAGCATTGAAAGCATAAATATCCTCTAATTTCTCTGTTACGCATTTTGAATTGTTAGAAAGTCAATAAGTACAATCACATGTACATTATTTATATTTTAGTTTTAAACTTTTTATATTTTTCAAGATCAGTTCTGTTTTACTACATGAACCGTGTGGCTGTATACTTCATCCAAGTTATTAGTTTGAATTAGTGTTTTTTCAATTAAAATTTGTTGAAGTGCAGTTTTTATTTTTCAAATTTCTCAAAGTGCATATCGAATATCAAATGCAACAAAATGGTGTAAATTTAGAACAATGCCAAATACAATAAAATGCCATGTAATGTAAGGAGTAATTAAAAACGATCAAAATGGAAATAGCTGGAAATTTCTAGCAATAATTTCCTTAGGCTGGCCTAACAATCGGCCGACCCAAAATAGCAGCCCAGATAACGCGTACCGACTCTGGTCGCTTCAATAACGGCACCGACCACAGTTCACACTCTGGGTCATCAGAAAATCCTCCCGGCCAAACAGCCTCCCCCGCTTCCTTCCACTTTGCACGCCACCGCTTCTTCCAACCCCTTTATGACCCAATATCCACCTTTTCGTATCTCTCGTCACTGCATTAAACCTCCAAAGCATCCAGGTCAAGAATTATGAAGGACCGATTTGATTTCATCTTCCAATCATCTCAAGTCTTCATTTTGCAGCTAAGTTCTCTAGATCTTTCATTTTGTTGGATTTTACAGGTTTTTGTATACGTATTTGAAGTCATCACTCTTAATATCTTATTCACACAAAAATTGACTATTCATGACAGTTTGGAACACTCTTTTCAAATACTATGTGTAGATGATATTTTTTCATAAGGTAATTTATTTGATTGAATACTTAAATTAATACAAAGTTGAAGTTATCAATCCTATTATTATTCATGTAAATTAATACATATTCAGGTTTGAATGCATCTACCTAGTCATTTTAATTGGTCAGATCAAACTGCATTGGTGTTCAAAGTGGGCTTCGTTTTGGTTTTGTTTTAAATTTCAAAGCTCTTTAATTTTATTAAATATTCAACACTCGAGTTCCACCTAACATCTAGATATAAACAATTTAATATACTTCACAAAAATTCAGTTTAATTACTTTTCTAATTTTGTTTTTAATCATAGGACGAAGAAATGAAAGCTCATTTATAATTGCATTTGCTGCTATTTTATATAATAAAAAAGAGGTTTTCAGAATGAGAGATTATTAGTACCCTTGGATCAAATAAGATATTTTAATTCACATGATATCCAATAATCTCAGCTGCACTGCTGCACCTGCTTAACAAAACCTCACCATACACGCTTTGAGTACTATTTAATCATTGAGTAAATATAAAAAGCTTACTTAAGTGTTTTAAAGTTGACCAATTCTACGCTATACTTTTTCCAAGTTCTTAATTTCTTATAGACTTTATTTAAAATGGTTGCTTTAGTTCATACACTTCTTTATTTTGACTTTCAAAGCTAATTCACTTGACATTCATTATTCCTAGTTGCCCCAACTTCATGAAAATAACTCTAAAGTTTAAACATTAATGTAGAATTCAGAAATTAAGTTGTAGCTGCCTAAACAATCTCCAGCTAACAACTTAGTCCTCAACATCAATTTGTAAGATGTAGACCATTCAATGTTTGAGGCTCTATGTATAATAGTGTGTAGTTAGACACCAAAATGGAATTTCAAATGTATATTTACAGGTATTTCCCTTTGCCAAAAGCTGTGTCACAGTCATCTTTGTATAAGTCAAATGATCATCCTCCACGTGCAAGGTACTTCATTATATTACTAATTTATTTGAATAAAATTAGTTCTTACAATCAACTACTCACATCAACCCTGAAAATACCTAGATTCGATGAAAAACCTTTTTTATTTGAAAAACGCCATTTTTAACAAAGAAAACACTGGTAGATCCAGTGTTTTGAGTGGAAAACACCAACAAACAAACAGCCCCGTTTTATTTTATTTTTGTCGCTCAATATTACTTTTGTTAAAAGTCCTGGCACTTGTCGAATACTACGATCACGAACTTGTCAATGAACATAAGTAGACTTCTACACCAGAGCATATTTATCGAGCTTACCGTGCGCTCCAATCAAACATAGAACATCTACCGAGTCGAACCTAAACCCCATTTGCACAACTCGTCGAGTTTCGAGCTCGAACTCAAACATCATTATTACCTCAAAAAGTCAAACAAGAGTTTTGGATGTTGAGGCTCGACTCGGCTCATTAGAATCCCTTATTGAAACCAACATATGTCATTTTAGATTATTTTATTTAGACAATATTCAAAATCAAAATCATACGCGTTTTGTCCATGAGTTTGGAACATGGTATAAAAAGGTGCTTACAGGGCGGGTTTTGAGGTGCGCCTCAAGGTGAGGCGTACACAGAAGGTATCAGGGCTTAGGTTGTTTTCGCAGGTCAAGAGACTTACGCTCCAAAAGTTAAGGTGTACGCCTTGAGGCGTTTATGAGACGCGATTTCATTTTTTCTATCTTTTTAATGGATTGTACTTAGAAAAAGCCCGGTGTATTTTTATTTAATAAAAGGCCCATACATTAAACATACGTCGGTAATCCACACTAAACCCCTAACAAGCCCTGTTTCATTTGAAGTATTCATTTATCGTTAAAATGTTTGCATACTTCTGCACAAAGAAGTTTGCATACTCCTGTTCCACAACTTCTTACAATGTTACACACACTCCATTCTTCCAGGTAGCTTCTCCTCTCTTCTACACCCCTTTCTTCTCATCTGCTCCTCTTCTTCCACATCTCTCCTTCA